ACGTACTACTAGTAGACGAGCGTGAGTGTATGGGAGTGAAGTCCACCCGTCTTAAAGTTGCCAAGGTTGAGGAACCCTGCCCTAGCCAACCCCTGCTCAGGGGAAGAGACACTACAATATCTTGGACAGATGACCCTTCAGCTGCTGTGCAAAGACCTTCTCCACTGAAGGAGATCCCACCACTTCACGTGGCACCCAGTCAATCCCTGTCCTTTTTGAGTAGTTGTGCCCCAACTGGGAGAGCAGCAACCCTCTGCGCCCGCGTGCTCCTCCCCACCATCCTGTGTTGGGAGCCTCTTCCAGTAAAGCCGCTCCTCTGATGTCCTTGTAGTTATCTCCAAAGACGGGAGGAGCTCCAAACCCTTTGTCTTCACCATCCATTCTCAGCAGATGACCCACCCATCCCAGTCGCTGGACGTCGCCACGGATACTCTGGAGGAGCTTAACGACTGGGTGGCCAAGATCCGGGAGGCCACACAGAATGCAGATGCCAGGGTGAGTCTCCTTATGGAAGGCTCTGATCAGAGACCCGCTTCCCCAGATTTTGGGTTGGCCCCAGAAGCTGCCAGTTGAAGTTATGGAATCCTATAACTTTTGGAAACTTGTTTCTGGGATCAAATCTGGCAGAATGGGACTCAGGATGCACTCAAGGGCTAGTTCTGTCTGTACTGGCCAAAGGAAGAGAACATCAAAATGTCCCACACATCTTTTATTTTATTTCATGTTACAGTACTTCCAGTTATACAGCCCCCCGTCTTGCAAATCGTGCACGTTTTAAGTGTTAATTGTACAAGTTGAGGGGCTGTGGAAAAAGCGGCCCCTCCTTTCACATGCGGTAGGGAAGTGAAATGACCAGATCCCTTTGGAAAAGCATCGGTATTGTGCCACGATACCAAACAAAGGGTCAGGCCAATTTATTTTATGAGTTATTTGATGTCCGAGCGTTACGGCAATGGAAACACCCAGCAGGCGTAATTCTAGCAAAGCAGAATGGATTCTCTCCCCCCCACCCCACTTATTTCCCAAACCAGAAGGGAAATTCTTCCTGCCAGTGCCAAGATTCACGCTTGTCTTCTGGGAAGCTTCTGAAGGCATCTCTTCAAGGTTATTTTCCAGGGAGATGTAGCCGTGCCTCCTTTCTGCTCCCGGCTCAGCTGATTCACAGAGCAGGCAGTTGGCTGTTCAGGTGGTAGATCCAATCTGATTTCTGGATTTGACCTACAACCTGCAGTTTGCAGATTCTTATGCCAGAAATGGCCAAAGGACCTTGTGGAAGAAGACCGGCTCTAAATATCTCAGCTGGGGCTCTTGCCGTCTCCGCTGTCCTGAAATACACTTCTTCCATGATCTCAGAGCCTGACCCATCTCTTTAGAACTGTGCGATGGCAGCTTTAGGCCTACTTCCAGACTTGCCCATCCCTTTATCTTCCAAGGCTGGCACGTGAAGAGGTTGCCTGCATGTTGCTTTCTTCTCTGGGAGAAGCAGCCCCTCTGAGACCCTGTGACTGACGTGGGAGAAGAGCAAGTTGGAATGTCTTTGCTTTGCGGGCGCGCCTGTGCGTGGAGGGGTGGAAGAGATGCTCTCCGGATTACTCCTGATTGGGGTCTCTCTGTCTTGCGTGCAGATGCAGGAAGGGAAGATCATGGAGCGGAGGAAGAAGATCGCCCTGGAGCTGTCAGAACTGGTCGTTTATTGCCGCCCGGTGCCCTTTGATGAGGAGAGTGAGTTGTGTTGCCCCCCGCCCCATCTTCTGCCTCAGAGCAGGCTGGCCTGAGGCTACTCGCTTCGGACGGGTTGATCCTGGCCACCAGCGGCCTGATTACTTTTCTGCCCGGTGCCCGAAGCACCTGACTGTAGTCTAAGAGACGCGCGAGGGTCAGCCTGTCCGGAAGCGCCGGCCAGTCCAGCCTGAGAGTCCAGGAAGCCACGCCATAAAACCTGTCCGCGTTTCCAGACTCTCCTCACTGTGATCTCCTCGCCCGCTTGCTTAGAATTCTGCCCAACACTTCCCCAGACGCTCTTTGGAGCCACCTCCCCTGCTGCTTTCCCATTCACTCTCGCGACTCTCCCCTTTGCAGAGAGGAATGGTAACGAGCAGCTTCCGCGTGTGGTTTGAAGAAGTCACCCAACCGCTTCATTAGCCAACCTGTTTCAGGCTTTATGGCTGCTCCAGTTACATGTCTACACCTGCAGCTTCGCTGTTGTGCCATATTCTCAGAGTGTTTGGTTTCATTTTTAACTTTCTTTTTTTATTATCTATACAGCGGTTCAGCTCCACTTTTCAATGTATCATTTTTACTCCAGTTCAGATCTTGAAAACACCCTTTCCGGCGTTCCTTCAGCGCGCTTTCATCCCAAGGCGTTTCATGACTTATTCTTAAATCCATCCGCTCCTCTGCAGGCTTCTTGTCAGCCCTCTTCAGCTCCTCCCATTTGTTTTTTATCTCCATCAAAATCACCCTGCGTTTTTACTGCCTCTTTTATCTTAACTGTTTCTTGCTTTCTTTTTCGCAACATTCCTTTTAATGTCCTTTCTCTCTGTATGCAAATGAGACAGTATCTTTCTTTTATTCTCATGTTTGGCCTATTTTTCTCCTCTGCAGCCTCTTTTACTTGCCTCATTCTGCCAGGCGTCCTTTTTCAGGCGTCCCAGGAGCATAATTCCACAGGCTTCTTGGGCATTGTGCAACTCAGTCTTTTCACTCTGTTGCAAGCGGCTTCCAGATCATCTCTCCTTTCCATTCATTCCGTTGGGAGATTAATCTGTTTTCTGGCACTTTCCCTACAAGGCTTGTATTCTCTTTCCCTTTCATCATCCTTTTTTTTCCCTTTCTTTCACTCTTTTTCTTTTCTTCCATGCCTTTTTTCCCTCAAGTTTCACTCTTGACACTACCCAAAAGGTTTGTCCACGTTAGAAATTCTCAGGCCCCTTGAACCCTTCGCTAAGTCTCCCTGCCTTTCATTCTCAACATGCTTCACAGCTGAAATGTCCGTTCCTTTGTCAGGGGCACCCATGAAGAGGCCTTGCTTAAACCCCTCACTTGGGCCAGGCCGCCCTTTTTCGGAGGGGATCCCTGCCAGTCACCAGTCTGAGTCTAAGAAGACACAATAGCTTTTTAAAAACTCTCTCGTCTTGTTCCCACATATCACTCATGTCATTTAGCTGAATATTTTTTTTCTTCTGTTTCCTCTCATTCAGAATGTGGTGCAGTCATTCCACAGCTGACCCCCAGTTCTTCCAGTTCCACCTCTTATCTCTCAGCAGGCCATGGATTCCTTCCCTCATATGCACCAAGAGCCACCTAGATGGCACCAGTCCTGGCCTACGTTTTAGCCCTTGTATTCTGAATTAAGCCTCCTCCTTTACATCTCTCCATTCCTCAAAATCAGGCCATCTTTATTCACATCTGTGACACTCTTCCCCTTTCCCTTAGTTTCACAAACCCATCACGTATGCATTTTTTTCTATTTCTTTTCATTCCATGGCGAATTTGTGCTCCCAACCATATCCTCTTCCGCTCCAGGTTGTAATCTCCATATGTCTCTCACCACATGGGCCCACAGATACTCACTGTGGTCAGTCAAAGCTCTCAAAGAATGCTTTTTGGTAAGATGGAGAAGGTGGGGAACAGCCTTTGCCGCAATTGTGCGCACGCAGCATTACGTGCTAAGCATCAGGACCGTGCCAGCCAGTTTGGGCACATTTGGGCTGAAGTCCCCTTTTACCCCAAGCATGCTCACACTCTTCTGTGCAAGCTAGGATCTCTGATTAGAGACAACCTGGCAAACCAAGGTTTTCTTCTCTGGTGCAGAATTAGGATGCAAACACCTCAGATTTTGTTCGCTGTAAACAATCTTATCTTCCAAGAAATGCCCACACCGCCTGAGCTGGGCCTTAGCGTCACAGGCCATTCCCTTGATCAAAGTCTCTGCATTTGATAAGGCGGTGAATAATGTTTTTACTCTGCACTAATGGTGCAGTCTTTAAATAGTCTTCATTAACGAAATGAAGTCAGGGCAGTGCCATGTGAGACAATGAACATGTGCTGATATTTCACTGCCACAGAAACAGACACCCCTTCGTTGTCTCCGGTGGCAGCACTCCCTGCAGGTCAGTTCATCAGGAAACAACGGCTGCGAAAACCTACGCTCTACGGATGCTTGTCGTTACTCCCCCTCCCCGCCCTGCAGGGGCATCGCCCAAGCTGCAAACGGTCAGCATCCAGGACAGCCGACTCCTTGACCTGTTTTCCTTTCCAGAGATCGGCACAGAGAAGGCCTGTTACCGGGATATGTCGTCCTTCCCGGAGACCAAGGCGGAGAAATACGCCAACCGCAGCAAGGGGAAAAAATTCCTCCAGTACAACCGGCGGCAGCTGAGCCGCATTTACCCCAAGGGACAGCGCCTCGACTCCTCCAACTACGACCCGTTGCCCATGTGGATCTGTGGCAGCCAGTTAGTGGCCCTCAACTTCCAGACCCCCGGTACGTGGGCTCTGCTTCTGGCCGCGGCTGGCAGTCCTCCTCGAGCAGCTCTGGGGCCGAGTTGGGCCCTGGGCCCCCACTTTGTCTGGGGCGTCAACGCATAGCCGGTTGCCCAGTAATCATCTTTGTAGCAGAAACCCAGTGGAAGCTGGTTTCACCTGCAGTCAGGCTCTTCATCTGTCCAGCACTAAGGAGTCCCTGTGCTCAGCCGGGGTCTTTGGGCTGCCAAGCCGAACAGGGTCTTTCCCTGGAAAGGGCACAGATGGGACTGGCGGTCTTTTTACAAAGCGAGTGTGTCCCCTCTGGGCTGTAGGCATCGCATGGAGACAAGGAACTCCTGGGGTTATGGAAAGCCCTTAGACCTGGCTCTGCTCCCAGGCCCAGGGTTAATGCGATGGTGCGTTTATTGTTAGCGTTACAGCTGTTTTTGGTCTGAGCTGTGGACTCTTTTAAAACTGCTTTAACTGCTTATTTGGATTTTGTAAGCTGCCCAGAGTCTACCTGAGATTTAAATAAGTAAATAAATTTAAAAAGCCGGAAGGCAGGAAGGAAGATGATTAAAGCAAACATGGGGATCTAATGTGGCCCCTTCCATCGTTGCTGTGGTTGATCTAAAAAAAAAAAAAAAGTGCAGAATCCCTCTTACCTTGAGCCTGATTTCTCAAGACTATATAAAAGGCTCATGTAGTTTTCTTATCGACCGTGTGGAAAATGTTTCTCATTCCCTTCTTCCAGTAAGTTGTTTCGACTTCCCCAAACGTGCTATTTCCTGAGGGGTTTCCATCCAAATGCTAACCAGATCCTGCCCTGCTGAGCTTTCTTGAGACATGCTGTGGATCCTGCTAGGACCAGATTTATCATAGCTTTCTCCCCGGTTGGTTGATCTCCATCCATCGTCCGCTTGCCATCATGGCAGCTGGGACTGTGGAAGCAGAAGCCTTGCCTTCTAAAGGACCTCAGGCTGGGAGAGGCTCTGCCTCTCCTGCAGCTAAGCGAGGATGCCAGCAGAGATCGTAGCATCGGAATCTAGGGTTGGAAGGGACCTTGGAGGTCTTCTAGTCCAACTCCCTGCCCAAGGCAGGAGTCCTCATACCATCTTGGACAAATGGCTGTCCAGTCCGGTCCAGTCCAGTCCATCAGGGCCTCCTTCTCTCTAGTCACAGGCAGAAGTTCCAGGGATGGGCCCAGACTGAGGAAACATAAAGGCTCTGTGTTTGGGTTTTACTTGCACATGTGGGGCACACACGCCTGCCTAAGAGCAAAGCTGTAAATGCTGGGTTGGGCCAGAGCAGCTTGTTCTAAGGATTCCTGAGAGTACGTAGACTCTGTGAGGTCAGAGCAGGAGACCAGCGGCCTTGAAGGCCTCCTGCTCTGATCTCCCAGGGTCTCCTGCAGCAGCCGCGGCTCTTTCCTCTGAGTCCCGATGGGTCTGTGCTTCCAGACAAACCAATGCAGCTGAACCAATCGCTGTTCGCGCTGGGTGGGCGCAGCGGGTACGTCTTGCAGCCGGACATGATGCGGGATGACCTTTTTGACCCTTTTGACAAGAGCAGCCTGAAGCACGTGGAGCCCATCACCGTCCAGTTGCAGGTCAGTTAGCTGGGACCTCATGGGAAGCCTCCCCACCACCCGGTTCAGCTGCCTCTTTTGGGGTTCCTGCCGTGCCCACCTAACCTCCTCCCGTTCTTCCTCCCTGCAGATCTTAGGGGCCCGGCACCTCCCCAAAAACGGCCGCAGCATCGTTTGCCCGTTCGTGGAGGTGGAGGTGTGTGGCTCAGAGTTTGACAACAGCAAAAACAAGACGGACGTTGTAGGTAAGAAATCGGGTACTAGCGGGGTGTGTTCTGGCTCTTCTACGTCCAGCAAATGCTTCAAACGCCAGGGGACGTGGGTGAACCGATTGAGGAGAGGAGAGATTACCTTGCCCCAACGCTGTCTCTTTCACAGAGCAGCACCCGGCCAGCTGCGCCTGGTACCACCTGGGGGCTCCTTGACCAACTCAACGAAGTCAGAATTGCCTGAGGAGTCTCCCAGGGTTGGTGCAGGCAGAGACCCATTCAGGGGAGTCTTCAAAGTTTGGATCTGGTGGGAATCTCTCCCCCCAGGTTTTTTCCCATCATTCTGCTGGGTTTGAGGCAGGAGGGCTGAAGAAGTCCCAGCTGGAGCCATTTCTGTAGCCCTGAGGGTCCTCTGAGTTGGGGGAGGGGCAAACCTGCCAGCCTGGATGGTATTTTTGTTTGTTCCATGTGGGGGAGGGCAGAGGTGAAATGGCAGAAAGGATGCCTTAAGCCTCGGAGAAGCAAATTTCAGCCTTGAACACCCCTGAACCATGCAGAAAATGGGTGCCGTCTGCCCATTTTTAGAACGTGCAAATCTGCCACCCTCAGTGAAGTTGGGTCTGAAGGCTCCTTGACCTGAATGTCTTTTGTCCTCCCTTTGCTCACAGCTGACAACGGTCTCAATCCTGTCTGGCTGGTCAAGCAGTTTGTCTTCGACATCAACAACCCCGAATTTGCCTTTCTGCGCTTCGTGGTTTATGAGGAAGACATGTTCAGTGACCCCAATTTCTTGGCCCAGGCTACCTTCCCTGTCAAAAGCCTCAAAACAGGTACCAGCTCACCTGCTCACCCTCCCGCTCCCCACTTCCCCCTGCAACATTCGCTTGCTTCCCCTTGGAAGTCAACGGCTGTATCCCCGTTGGATCAAAGCAACCCAGCCTCCCTTTTGTGGAACTGGTGGGAAACCTCCATCACCCGGCTGGTCTCTTTTGGTCCTGCTGCATTATGGATTGACATCTGAATTGAAATCCTCTGCTTGCTAGAAGGTGGTTTTCCACCTCTGCATGACTGAACCTCCGTCTGCCAGAGAGGCTTCTGAAAAGCTGTAGCCTTAAATGAAGCATTTCAGCTCTAGGATTCCAGGAAGGGGATTCCAAGTCAGGAATTAAGGAAGAGTGGGGAGCTGTGGGCCACCCAGGGGTCACTGAATACAACTCCCAGCATCCTTCATGAGAGACATGGCTTCCCAACCATTGATGAAACGCCCGGCCGGTAGAAAGAGGAGGGCTTCACGTGGCCTAGAACAGGACCCGGCAGCTGATGCTTGACTTAGAAGAGAGCAGAGCAGATCAGTAACGTTTGACAGCAAATCATGTGCTTTGCTGTCCAGCTTTTGCATGTGAAGGATTTGGGATTCTGTCCTGCTTCTTTGTCCACAGGCTACCGGTCAGTGCCGCTGAAGAACAGCTACAGTGAGGATCTTGAACTGGCTTCTCTGCTGCTCCACATTGAAATCATCAATGCCAAGGTAAGCTCAGGGCGTCCTTTTAGAAAGGGGAGCAGGGAGGGGCAGCACCTGAGCTTGGAAGCTAGGCAGGGTTGGGCTGGTTAGTCCTTGAAAAGGAGACCCCAGAAAATCAACAGCAGGAGGAATGTAGAAGCAGCTGGAAGGTGCCTCTTGAAGGTCTGGGCAAGACCTCGAGGCTCTGTGCCTCTTTTGCAGGAAGAAGATGACGAGAACTTGTACTCCTCCATCCAGCAACTACGGGACCGGGCTAACGAGCTCTCCAGCCAGGTGTCTAACCTGGAGCACAGCAACAGTTGCGACTCGCGTTACCAGCAGCGGCTGGATGAACTGAGGGTGGCGCAAGAGCAGCTCATGGAGCTGACCGAAGCACGCAATAGGAAGTGAGTGGTGACCTGCCTTCCCGCCATCCTTGGTGTAAATTCACCCTCTCCCATTACAAAGCAGGTCTGTTGTAGCCGCGGTGGCTCTTCTACTAGACCGCTGCTCTGGTTTCTCAGGGTGGTGGAGAAGTCTTCCAAGCTAGCGACTTTGCTGTTGCATCAAAGACCCAAGAGCAGCCTAAAGAGAAGAGGAAGCCCTACTGGGGATTAGTCCACTAAAATCAGAGGTCTCCGGCCATGCCTGTCGTTCCTCTTGGGCAAATACTTTTCCTCTTCTCAAGCCATGTTCTGTTTCTAACGCAGGTTGATGGAGAAGAAGAAGCGAGACCGGCAGTTGGCCAACAAGCGTAACTGAACTGAACTGAACTTTCCCGGTTTTCCTGTCCTCCTGGAGAGATCGCCACAGACTCTTCTCCGACCTTCCAGGAGGTGCTGAATACGAGACATCCTTCAGGCTCACCAAATCCTGATGGCCTCCCTGGCTGCTGGGACAGCAGCCACAGGGGTAAGGCGACCTCAGCAGGAGCTTTCCTCCATGCATAGGAAGCAGGCATCCTCACCAACCGTTTTCACCCTCTGTGACACAGGCTGGTTCAGCTCTTCCTGCCTCTGAGGTCTGCAGCTCCCACAGTCAATCTCTTCTTCAACACGTTCATCAGAGCTCTGTTTTAATCCAGGTTTTCCTTCCTTGTGGATTGGGAAGATGGGCCTTTATTATGATTTATTATTATTATTATTATTATTATTATTTTTGGCTTTGGTGCAACCTAGGGCAGTAGCAAGTGCCTCTAATCTAACTTTCCCAGAGAATGTGTTTTTGCACAGTAGAAACCTGGTGGAGCCAGCTGAGAAGGAGCAGGACAAAAGTGGAGAGGGGGGAGGAGTCCTGGGGATCAAGAGGATTTGCCTGCCAGATCCTAAAGGGTGCCTGCAAGATTAGCTCTTGAGTGGAAGGGAGTATCAGGCCTTGGACACAAGAAGGAGAGGCTAAGATAAACCATCAGTCTGGTTTGCCAGCGGGACAGCTTCCTTCTTCTCAGCCCCGTAGCCTTCCTTCCCATCCTGAATTCCAGAAGCGATGCCAGATGCAAACTTAGTCCCACGCGCTGCTTACAGCAGGCCATGGCGCCTGGGAGGCAGCCTTAGGTATATTTATTTATTTATTGTGGGGCATGAGAAGGAAATCTCTCCCCCCCCACCAATAACCATACCTGAAGGCTGTGGGGGCATGTCGCTCGTAAAAAGAAACATTTTCGTTTCGTTAATCCTTGTTGCATTGTTTCACTCAAGGACACCCCCTCACCTTCCTCGACTGTCATGTTGGGGCTGGTCTAAAGCAGGCAGACATTGATGGAAGCTAAGTGAGGGTCACCTGTGAAAAGAGGAGGCTGCTGCAGAGGCGTGACACCTGATGCGAGAGAGCAGAAAAGGACCCAGGTGGGGAGGATGCGGTGGCACCCCTAGCCCATCGTCCTCTCCCAAAAGCAGCCCCTCCAGATTCCTCTTCGGGATCCGAGAAAGGCACTTGTCTCTTCGCTGAATTGCTTCTACCCTTCAGCTGTTCTTTAAATGCATAATCTTTTCTTTTCTATTGCTGTGATTTGCATTTGTTTTTAACGCTGGCTGTTAAACGAACAAGTTGGGACAGGTCGGCGGGTTCCAGGCAGTTATGGTTGCCAAGATGGAGAGAGAGAGATGGAGAGAAAGGTTCGCCTTGCTTTTTTTGCTTGTCCTCAACCTATCAGAGCACCATCCTAGAGTGGTGTTGCGTATGTCGGTAAACTGCGGGGGGGGGGGGGGGGGGGTCAGAAGGGGCAGGTAAGACGGCCGGCGATTGGTTGGAAGAGAGAATCCGTTCTTTGGTGGAAGAAATCCTTGAACTAGAAGACCAGGCGTGGGCGCTTTTCAAACAAGCCCAACAAATAACAGCAGTTCCAGTGTGAGACTTAACGGAGGCATATAATTTAGTCTCTTTTAAGAATGCTGTGTGCACGAAAGACCACTTCGGTGATCTGCTTCGTTCATGCCTTGTTCCTTCCTCCCCTCTGCAGGGGAATCGTGGGTGCAAAAGGGGGGAAAACATGTAGGAAAAGCCAGGTATTTCACCCCAGTTCCAGCACCTGGCTTACAGTCACACAAGTGGAAGGACTCTGCTCTTAGCCGTAGTAGGTGAAGGTCCACCTAAGTGTCAGAGCTCAGAGCCACAGGCCAGGTGAGCCGTGAAATTTGAACTGGCATAGTAAGTGTAGGAAGAGCTCGTTGGCCTAGTTGGGTGGGATTTGTGAAGGAGAAATGGGGTGGCTGCACTAAGGAAAGCTGGTAAGAATCACAGAGAAAGGCTAAGATGATTTCAGATCCTAGTTGGGCTGTAGAAGCTTTTTTGACCAAATTTGGAATGCATTTTGCTAAACTCACCTCATGAAGGGACCATGTTGCTTGGTTCATCTGCTTGGAGAAATGCACTGAACCGTTCAGTGGGTCTTGGAGAAGGCAATCATTTGAAAAGGGGGCGTTTAGTAGCTTAGAGGACCATGCAAAAATGACCATTCTTGAAGGGATAACGGGCCCAAAGACAGGAGTGAAATCTGCCACGTGCTCCTCAAAACGAGCAAGATAAGCAACAGAGGAGGAAGAGTTTTCACAGGATATTTCATCCAATGTAAGCTTTCAGTTAGCACTCAAAGAAAAAAAAAGCATTCAGTGGCAAGAATACTGAAACCCTGTAGAAATGTCAGAAACTGGAGATACAACTTGTGAAGGAGGTTCCGTCTCCAGCCGTTTTCAAAACAAGTTGTATTTCTGGTAGATCTCTGATTGCTTGAGGTGCCAGGAAACTGCAGAACAGCATGCAAGGAACTTCAGCACTTCAAGCACTGTCCTGCTTGTGCCTCTTTGCGGGAAAGCTGACCTGTTGTTCAGGAAAGGGGCGTTCAAATTCTCAAGAGCTTGGTTCTTGCAAAGCTAAGCTGTCAGGTTTTTTTGCCATCTTTGGACCCAGACCTGGCTTCCCCTGGATGTGGAGGAAACGGAGCCGGCTGCTCACCTGTTTGCACTGGAGCGGTACCCTAGCACCATTTAAGCTAGCTCCTTGCGAAGTTCACACCTTGGTCAAAAACCAATTCTTCAGCTTAAAAGCAGTCAACGGTGGACTTAAAAAAAAAAAAATTGGCTAGCTTGAAAGCGAGACACAAATAAATTGCCCTTTCTGGTGGCCTTTGCAGGAACTGAGAGTTCCAAATTATGGCCGTGCCTTTAGCCTGGGGATCCTCTTGTCCTCATTCCCATGGCTAAACTGTAGGTAACGGACACCAGGGAGGCCACAGCAACGGGGGTTCTGCAAAGGCAAAAGCTCGAGGAAACACAAGGAAGCAGGGAAGGGTCTACAGCAGAATTCAAGTTCATTGTCCAAACGACCACCAGTTGAATGTGAACAGCTCACCAAGGGAACAGCAGCGGTTCCTGGGCAGGAGGGAGCACTGTCAATAGCCCAGTTAAGTCCCCCTTTTTTTTCAGGAGAGGTACACATAAGAAGCACAAGAGAGTTGGCACACCAGCACTGTTCCAAGGTCACGCCCTTTTTGGTGCCACTCTGGGGAGGGATTCTGTCTTCTTTGTATGAACAAATAAATCTATTTAGCCAATATTTATACAAGAAGTTGTCTGCTTGTGTTTCTGCCTACTTTCGTGGTAGGCTTAACATCCCAAGGACTCATTTGCTCCATGGCCCATCTCTTCAGCTTTCTGCTGCAATGGACTTACAGAAATACTAGCCTCGCCTGCTTATAGTTAGGTCATCAGACTTCCCTTTGTCGTACCTGAGCCAGCCCATGGCTCCTTGTCTGTGTATACCAGTGTTTCTCAACCTTGGCAACTTTAAGACGGGTGGACTTCAACTCCCAGAATTCCCCAGCCAGCCAACCTTGCTGGCTAGGGAATTCTGGGAGTTGAAGTCCCCCCGTCTTAAAGTTGCCAAGGTTGAGAAACACTGGTTTCCACTATACCTTGTAAGCCCCCTGGGAGGGGCTTCTGGTTAATAAAGCCTGACACACAACACAAAATAGCCAAGAACCCACCCCTCAAAGTTCTATTTTAACCTCCATGCTCATCCGCTCCCACATCAACAGTCAAGGAGTCAAACAGCCGGCATTGCCAAGGAGGTCTGTTCCCTATACAGACATCTGTTTCTAGGACAATAAAAGGCGAACGCACAAGTCAAGTGAAAAATAAGGCTGTATTGGAAGACATGTTTTAAATAGACATCACGCATACAAAAAGTTCCTTCTGTTTTCCAGAGATCACAGCAAGGAGGGAAAGAAGATTATTCCAAGCAAGCAGACTCCGAGTCTGGCCTGCAACAAAATAAAACCAGAGAGCAGCAGCAAAAATGCCACCTATTTATTACAGTAATTAACTTACCAGCGTGCCCCCATCTTGGAATTGAAAATATTTATAAAGATAAATCTTCAACCTTTATATCAAGTATAATTTTCTCCCAAAAAATGTAGCATTGTTTGAAAAGTGCAGAAACTGAAGTACTGATCTGAGGCTGAAGTGCAAGAAACCTCAGTAATAACGCGTTACAATACATTTTTAGAGGGGAAAAGAGGATCCAATTTAAAGGGCTAGAGTTAATACTGCCACATGGATAAGGCACTTTTCCCTTTCTCCTGCAAGCTTTATTTCACAGTATTTACTAGGGCAGAAGATAAGAAAGCTGTTGTTTTGGGGCTGTGGAAATGGGAATCAGTCAGAGGAATGATTGTATAAAACCCACATAACCGAGAAAGACAGCCTTAATGTGTCCTATTCAAAGGATTTTGTAGCTGATACTTATGGAAGAATCCTTGATCACCCTGGCACTTAGAGATGGAAACTAAGGTTATATGAACTGATAAAAGAAATCAACCTACAGGGAAAAAAAATTACAGGACCTAGGGAAGATCACCTATACAGCTTTCTCAGAATTTTCACAGGAAAATCCAGGGACGCGTTTGCACCAGAAAATGGTAACTAGCTAGGAAGCACAAGGCTCACTAGATACTTTCCTGAATTTCTTGCTGGTGTACCTTGTGAGAGAGAACACGGTTTAATTAAATCAGAGGCACAGCGGCTAACCCCCAAAGTTGCTGCCCCTCCAGCGTGCTGACTGCTTTGGCTGGAGGCCTGATAGTACACAGTGCTGCCTCAGCAAAAACGAAAAAGCAGAAGCAGCATGTGAGGTTCCCCCAAGATTTGGGCAATATGATCTTGGACGGCTGTATGTCCAACCTGAGACACAAAATCAACATGAAACTTCAGCCCGAAGCCCCAACTTGCATCTAGTTTTACAGCCCCTAATCTTAAAATGCCAGGTTTGGGAGTGGGCATTGTAATAAATGCCCAGGGATCAATAAAAAAGGAATTGTGCAGAAGAGTCACAGATATCGGTCACAGGATCCCTAGTCAAACCCAGGCCAGAGTTTGTGAAAATTCCTTCTCTGTGACACTAAATCCCCATCGCTCTGCTCAGGAAGGGGAATTCTCATGGGATTCTGAATCTCTGGAATCGGATCAGGCCAGAAATGGAACTGGAGGCTTCTGGCTTCAGAGTTACAGTCCAGAAAGTCTTTTTCCAGACCTGACCTTCAGTTTCCATGTTCCGTAGCTGTGGCCCAATGAAGGGGTCAGGGCACATCAGTCTGAAGGTGATGAGCAAAAACTTAGTTCAAAGGGAATGACAAACTGAGGGTGCGTTGATAAACTTATTCTACCAACAATATTCCCAAAGAGCAGATAAATGCAGGTTTGCAGGAGACTGAACCACAGATGCTTCTGGTTAACACGGTTGCCTTCCCTCAGTTCCTGGTAGGTGCTGCTGTAAACAGCGTAGCAGAAGGAAACAGCTGCAGAAAAATACTTGAGATTCTTCGTTCTGCTGACGCAAAGCCATACGCCTCCAGTGCAGGAGTCATTTATAAAGCTCCATCTTCTTGTTCTGGTACATGTACATGTAGGCATCACAGAAGAGGCGCTTGGCTACTCCTTCCATGTCCCGAGGCTGTTCCATGGCTAAGGAGGCCACTGGCATCTCCAGGTATTTGGCTACCTCTGGGCACAGCGTCACCGTGGGGATGTTGTAGCCATTTTCGTCACCTAAGTCGAGGAGACAGATGGATTGGAGGGACCAGAGGTGCTTGGATAGGAGGCGCCATTTTGGCTCTTCCGCCTTGCCTGCTGCAGAGTCCCGAGGGAGACCACTTTCCAGAAATCACCCCCAAAGCTCTCAGGCACCCCAGTGTTTGGAGCTGAACATGTGCCCCCACAACCCTTAAAGCAGCAGAAACACTGGCCCAGCCAGGCAAGCTCACCATGTCGGTCTGCCATGCTGTCGAAAAACATCCAGTTCTCTTTCTCCGGCCCGTATTTCACAAAGGACACATAGTGGCTGGTCTCGATGCAGAGAACGGCAAACAGCTCCAGTTTCTCCCGAGGCACCCGCACGCCATCGCGACGGCTACCCTGGCCAAATTCCTTGGGGATGCGGAGCTTTGTTGTCTGATGGGCTTTCCGCTGGTAATGGGAGTGAGCCTGGGAGTGAACAAGGGGGAACCTGTGGGCCTGTGAGGCTTCTGGGGCAGTGGGCCTTGATATGGGGAACACGTGATTTCTCCCCCCCTTCCCTTGGACAAAACACTCTGATTGCTTGTGAGATAGAGAATGAAATCAGTGAGACACCTAAAAAAGGAAGCTTCGTAAGGAATGACTCTTGATACCCATTGTATGTATTGGATAAAGCTTCATGCCAATGTTCCTTGAGAAAAGTCCTCTTAGAGGTCTTCTCGTAAATTGGTAAGTCATTACACAATGGGGGGGGGACTAGCTCTTATTATAAAAAAAGTAAAGAGAGCCTTGAATCGAGCTTGATTCCTGGTGATGGCTGTGATGAAATAAGACTACTTGCATTCTACTGATTGAAGAATTAATTGGACACCTCCTTAAAAGAAATGAGAGCAGAAAGTATAGGAATTTTGCTGGAGGCGAATGAGGAAAGAGGTGAATTAGAGGAAAAGAGAGCAAGTACATAATCAGTATATGTTAAAAGAAAGTCATATGCAGCCCTTGGAACACAGGAAACTATCATTCCACACATGAGCAGAGTTCTGTTGATTACATCTAAACTGAAAAAAAGTGTGACTTTAATTCTGAACAAACTGAAGCTGAAACACAGTGGACTATGTCAGCAAGACAGCACTCCAACGGATATCTTCAAATCAACCACAAAGTATTTGCAGGAAAGAAAGATAAAAGTTGCTGAATGGCCTTCGCAGTTCCCACACTTGAATATTATTGAAAATGAGTAGGAAGCTCTCAAACATGCAGAACATACAAAGAGACCTAAGAGTATTTCTAAGTTAGGAGTTCTGAAAGGAAGAGTAGGAAAAAAATACCCAAAGCCAGAATATAATGTTTCTTGGCTGGCTGCAGGAAATGTTTAGAAGCTGTCATTTCTTGCCAAGGAGATGTTAAAAAATACTGACCAAAAATTGTTCTAACTGCATCTGCCATATTCACCTTTTCAAAAAAAACCCTGTGAACTACTGCAAATGATATCAGGCATGCATGCAAATATGCAAAAAGATGCTGTGTTTAACTTTGCACCATGTAGAGGTTGCATCAGCTTCTGTTCAAGATTGCAGAATTTGACCAGGAGCATTGGAACTTTTGCATACAACTGTGTATGTAACCCACAGGGCCTCTGATTAACACGACAAAGAATAATATATTGCCCCCCTCACTATAATACCAGAAGATCCAATAAGAGAGGGGATACCCTAAATCAGTGTTTCTCAACCTTGGCAACTTTAAGATATGTGGACTTTAACTCCCAGAATTCCCCAGCCAGCATG